CCCCAAAACCCCAAAACCCCAAAACCCCAAATTAGATATTGAGGATTGAAACGAGTGGTTTATTTCAGCATCATTTCTAGTGATGAATTTTCTGAGTCGATCGATTCTTTGGATGGAGTATGCATCATCGATAAATTCTTTTCTGAGTCTTTATCTTGCAGTTCAGAGGCTTTAGGTGCTTTCATGAGATCACCTTTGATCGAGAGAGCGAGCCCAGCCATTATACCGAAAGTTCCAACATATGTAAAGATACCTGGCATGTTGTCTTGTCCAAGAATGATTCCAAGAATTTGGCCGACCACAGGTTCAAGAAGATAAATTGTTCCAACAATATGTGGAGGGAAATAGTTTAATGTGAACACATATCCTCCAATTCCAAACACTCCTGTAATGATACCAATAGCAGTCAAGGAGTATAACAAGTACTCACTTGATGCCCATCCAAGAATCCCATATTGAATATCAAAGGAATAAAAATCTTTAATATCGTAGAATCAAATATAGAAAGCAGAAGTGATAAAGAACTGGATAGTAAAACTTACCTCAACAATACATATAGAGGGGAGCTTCTTTAACAGTCTAGCACTCACAACAAAATACAACCCGAATATTGGAGATCAAATTAAACCGATAATATCACCAAGAACGATATTCGTCTGATCATTAGTTTTAGATGATGAACTATCATTTATACAAATAACAACAGAAATAATGACAAAAATGGTACCAATTATTTCTAGCTTATGCACAGGAGTTCCACGAATTATATTAAAACATACAATGCAAATACCTCCTAGATTGACCAGAATAGAAGTGTGGGATACTAGAGTGTAATCTGAGCTGTGGAGTAAAAGACTTGATCCAGTTGTCCACAGAAAAGCTGATCAAAGAAACTCCAAAAGTGTCTCCATAGTAAACACCTTCGATAAATCAATATCTGCCCTATTAATATAGCAAAAATAGGCACCAATAGGCAGTCAATAAATTACCAACAGTTGTCATCTCCACAAAGTTCTCAAAACAAATGGGACTCCCTTATACTCATCAACCAATGGAATTATCGCTGAGCCAGCTAGAAGTGCTACTACTGTCAAGATCGTTCCTATAATTAAGTTTATTTTCAAGGGAAATTTAACTGGAATAGAGTAGAGAGTACAGATTTGGGGAAGGTCAAATTAGAAGGTGGAGAGATGGAGGAAGGGGAGGAGAGAGGGGTTTTAGGGGAAGAGATTATTATGAGAGTATTGGGATGATTTTGAAGTATTTTGAATGTGAGGAGTATTATTTGATGTTATTATAAATATTTTTCTAGAAAATTATCAACCAAATAAAAATCTTTCTCAGACTCGGTATGTTTAAAAAGCTGCGGAATCACTATAATTCAACCCGAAAACCTCCCTAACTCCTCTCTTCCCTAGTTTTTTGTAATTTACCAACAACCATATTCTTGTCTTGCTTAGTGCCAGTCTGTTCTTGCTCGAGTTGGGAGGTCTCGAATGATCTCATATTTAATTAAAAATTATTACTTTTCCAACCTAATCCACACATTTAGGGGTTTTGGGGTTTTGGGGTTTTGGGG